AGATGAGGATACTACACGGGTTGGATCACCAAGCAGACTTCATGATATAGACTTGTTGGCATTCCGGCCAAACTACCAGGCTAGCTACATAAGACATCATTTTCTTGGGACTGTAGTAGAATATATCTCAAGTATGGGCTTCTCTGGTGGCTCCGCAGGAAAGAATCTGCCTGCCAAGCAGGAGACATGGACTGGATCCCGGGGTTGGGAAGATTCCCTGGAGAAGGAAATGGCAACCCACTCCAGGGTTCTTGCCTGGGAAGGCCCATTGACAGAGGAGCCCGGTTATAAGCCGTGGGTTATAAGCCATGGGGTTCTCCAAGAGTCGGATACAACTTAGTGCTTAAACCACTACCACCATGTCTCAAGTATATCTTAGAGAAAAAAAAAAAAACACCAAAATTCTGGAAGGAAAACCAATTGAAAGGCTTAGGTGGAAAAAGGAGAAAGAGGATATTTGTGTGCCTAAACCATCAAGGTTGCTTTGTATGTTAAACAATGAAAGAGACTCCATGTCAAATATGAATGATATAGACTTAGCTGGATTAGCGAAGAAAAAAAAAAACACAAAACCAGGCTCATAAATACAACTAGAAATGAAAGCGAGTACATTAAAACCAATGGCACAAAAATAAAAGGGATTCAAAGAGAATAATGTGAAAACCTGTAAGCAAACACAGTGAATAGCCTGGAAGAAACAGATGAATTGCTAGAAATATACACGCTATCGAGATCAAAGCAAAAACAAAGTCTGTTCAAACCTCTAAGTATTACGGAGATTAATCCAGTAATCAGAAGCCGTCCGACAAGGAAAACAGGACCAAATGGATTCACCGGAGAACTCCACCAGACTGTAAAGAATTAGCACATATAGTACTCAAACTCTTCCCCACAATTAAAAGAGGACAATACACTCCCAAACTCATCCTCTCAGGCCAGCATTACCCTGGCACCAAAGCCAAAGAAACAATAGAAACTGAGGCAAACACACTCAACAAGATACTAGCAAACTTATTTAAATAGCACGTTAAGAGGATTCTTCTACACCGTGAAGAAGAGGGATTTATTCCTGGAGTCTTAAGGATGGTTCAACATACAAAAAAAATCAATGTGACACCCCATATTAACAGAACGAAGAACAAAACCCAAAGGATCGTCTCAGCTGATGCATAAAAAGCATTTGGAAAAAACTCAACACCCTTTCATGATATAAACACTCAAACTAAGAATAAAAGAAAAGGACCTCGACATAATAAAAGCCATATATGAAAATTCCACAGCTAACATCATACTCAGTGTTAAAAGTCTGAAAGTTTTCTCTGCGATCATAAACAAGAAAACAATGCTTTCTCTTGTCGATTTTATTTCACACAGCTCTGTAAGTCCGAGCCAGAGCAACTAGGCAAGGAAAAGAAATAAAAGACATCCACACCGGAAAAGAAGAAGTGAAGTCATCTGTTTGCATGTGAAATGGTCTTAAAGGTAGAAAACTCTAAAGATTCCACACATACATAAGACTACTAGCGCTATTAATAAACTTCAGCAAAACTGCAGGTGACAAAAATCAGCATACAAAAGCCAGCAGCATTTCTACACACTAACAATGAAAAATTTGAAAAGAACGTTTGAACAAATCCACATATAACTGTGTCAAAGAGAAATAAAAGGAGGTGAAAGACCTGTAATGCTGAAACTACAAAATACTGGTAGAATAAACAACAGAAGACACAAATAAATTGGAAAGACATCCCATATCCATGGGCCAGAAGATCTGGTAACTTTTATTGTGCCCATAGTACACAAAGTGGTCTACAGATTCAGAGGAATCCATACCAAAATCCCAATGGCACTTTTTGTTGAAATACAAAAATCAATGCCAACATTTATATGGACTCAGTGGAACCTGAATAGACATAAACTATCTTGGAAAAGAAGAACAAACTTGGAGAATCTCACACTTCCAGGTTTCAAAACACATTACAGAGGTACGGTAATTAAAACAGTCTGGTGCTGACATAAAGACACACATATAGACCAATCGAATCGAATAGAGAGCCTGGAAATAACTCTTCACAGGTATAATGCCCAGGTGACCTTTCAACAAGGCGCCCAAGACGACTCAACAGAGAACAGGACAGTCTCTTCAACAAAATGTGTTTAGGAACATGGATATCCACATGGAAAGAACAAAGCTGGACCCTTATACCATATACAAAAGTTAATATAATATGGATTAAAGGCCTAAAGGTAAGAGCTAAAACTACAAAATTCCTAAAAGAGAACAGAAAGAAAGCATTACGACACAGGATTTTTTTTTAACTCTTGGATATGATACTAAAAACACAAGCAAGAGCAGGGATAGCCAACGGGAGTGCATCAAACTTTAAAAGTTCTGGGTATCAAGGGACACACTCAACACAGTGAAGAAGCAACCTTTGAAATGGGAGGAAATACCTACAAACCACATAGCTGATAAGTGGTTTGTATCTAGAATTTATTATATGAAGAATTCCTAGGACTCAACAAGAAAAAAAAAAACATCAAAAAATGGGCAAGGGACTTGAATAAACATTTCTCCAAAGAAGACACACAAATGGCTAACAGCAAGAAACAACACTCTATGTCATTAATTATTCAAGAAATTCAAAACCAAGACATAATGGCTTCACACACATTAGGACGGTTACTATCAAAAAGAGAGAAGATAACCAGAGTTGGTGAGAATGTGGAGAAACTTGAACCCTGGTGGACTGTTGGAGGGAGAATAAAATGACACGGCCAGTATACGAGACAGTTGGGGGGATAGTCAAAACACTGAAGAGAATCACCTTATCATTTGATAATGGCACTTCTGGGACTGCACCCCCCCAAAAAAATAAATAAAAGCAAGGTCTTGAAGAAGAGGCAGAAGCAACCCAAGTATTCAGTGATGGATGAAGAGATAAACCAAGTGAGGCCCATCCATACAATAGAGTATGATTCTGTCTTCAAAGGCAGAGAATCCTGTCACATGCTACAACATGTGAAATCAAAGCACTGATGAACCTCGAGGTCAGTCACAAAAGGACAAACACTGTGTGAGACACCTGTGTGTGCATGCTCGCTCAGTGAGGTCTCACTCTTTGTGACCCCATGGGCTGTGGCCCGCCAGGCTCCTCTGTGCATGCGGTTCCCCAGGCAAGAATCCTGGAGTGAGTTTGCTGTTCCCTTCTCCAGATCTTCCTGACCCACCGACTGAACCCGTGTCTCCTGCACTGGTAGGTGGGCTGTTCAACACTAGTGCCATGTGAGATACCGAGAGTAGTTCAAATTCAGAGAGACAGAAAGCAGAAGGGTAGGTCCCCGGAGTCGGAGAGAGAGACAGAGGAAGGGATGGAAGTTGGGGTTTACTGGGACACAGTTCCAACTCCACGAGGTACAAGGTGGAGAAAGATGGATGCCGTTGCTGGTTACACAGCCATCTGAACATTCTGAACACTCAGCGGGCACACTTACCAGTGGATAAGATGGTAAACTTTTCACTAAGTGCTTCTTGTGACATTGATTAACATCTGTGCTTCCATCATTAACGCTTGTTAGCATTCCAATGTGTGCAAACGGCCCAGAAAGGCAGCTGGTGAAGGGAGTGTGTATCATGGTGCTTGTACTCACATGCTGAGGTATGTGTGTGTGTGCACGTGTATCTCTGTGACATACATGTGTATGTGTGACATACGTGTGTGACGTGTTTGTGTGTGACGTGTTTGTGTGTGACGTGTTTGTGTGTGACGAATACTTGTGTGCGTGTAACATGTGTGTGACATTCATGTGTATGTATGTGTGACGTACCGGGATGTGTGTGTGTGTGTGTGTGTGTGTGTGTGTGTGTGTGTAATCCAAGAACAGCCCACACAGTTTCTTTATAACACAACACAGCAATAATAGCAGGGCCCTTTCCAGGAAATTCACTCATTCCAGGGGATATTCAATCTGCCCCTCTGGATGTATGTATAAACGTAGATAATTACACATGTTTCAAAAATGACTATGACTCATGTTAACAACTTTCTGAATCCAAAATTACTGCTGTGACTGTAAACTTTTTTCTCCCTGAGCACCAGGGATTCTAAAGACTGAGTGATTCTCCTTTCTTCCTAGAAGAATCTTAAAATAACACTCCATTTTTAAGCCATTTTTGTCCCTGTAACCTAGAACATTCTTGACCTTCTCACTTATAGTAAGAAATAGCAGGCAGTTCTGTTGTTCCATCTACAGCTAACAAGCCCCAGGGGAGAAAAGTCATCTTTCCTCTCAAAGGAAAACAAGTAAAGGCCACACAAACAGACATGTTAGAACCAAATTACACCTTTAACTCTTAAAAGAAGGTTTTTTTTTTCAACTTCTTTAGGGATATTTAGCTGCTTGCCTATCATCCACATGTTCAAGTTTGCACAGCTGGGGAAACATGAATGCACTGTCTGATTGTGAAAAGGAAAAGCCGCCTATCTGAAACTCGGAAGCAATTCTCTCAGGAATGTGATCTCTAGGTCACCCTGAGACAAACAAAATGCAAATGTTTTCAGACCTCAGGAATGAGAGAGAAGAATGTATATTAAGAAAGCTTAAAAATGACAAGCACATGATGCTGTTATTGTTTAGTCACTGAGTCACATCCAACTCTTCTGTGACCACCCTGAACTGTAGCCCGCCAGGCTCCTGTGTCCGTGGACTTTTCCAGGCAAGAACACTGGAGCGGGTGGCCAAGCCTCCTCCAGGGGATCTTCCCGGCCCTGGGATCGAACCTAAGTCCACTGCTCTGGCGGCGGGTTCTCTTCCACTGGGCCACCCGGGAAAGCCCACAGCACGTGCCAGCATCCTCCAAAGTCTCTAATGAGTCCCTCGGAGCCTTACTAGGAAGGAGATCTTCCGAGAGATTATCAGGGCAGAGGAGAACGCTAGCGTGGCCGGCGGCAGGCTCAGAGTGGCGCCTCAGAGTCCTGAGGGCGCTCAGGGGACCTCACCTGGCATGAGCGCGGCCGTGGGGAAGACCTCCTTCAGCTTGGCCTGGCTCATCTCCACCAGCTCCTCCGCGGACATCGGGAGCTGCAGCGTGTCTCTGATCAGCTGGGCCGCCTCCAGCGCCTTCTTGCCCATCACCAGCGACTTCACGTCCCAGCTGTACTTCTTCCCGTAGCGCCCGCAGATGTCCTCAAAAACGACCGAGTAGAGCCGCTCGGTATCTGCGGAGACGAGGGGGCAGAGACACAGCGGCGTTGAGGGATGTGTTCACAGCGCACAGAGCCAGCGTTCCGGGCAGACAGCTTGGAAGAGGGGCGGGGGGGGGCGGGCAGCCTGTGGATGTGCAGGGCACGCTGGTGGGCTCGGAGGACCACTCGGTGCCCTGGCGGCCTGCCCTCTGCTGCTCTGGAACCCTACAGGGTGGGAGGGAAAGGAAGTCTGTCTGTGCGCAGCTGCGTCCGAGGCCGCGCTCCCGTGCACCGCGGCCCGCCACGCCCCTCCGTCTGTGGGATTCTCCAGGCAAGAATCCTGGAGTGGGGGCCTCCCTGGTGGCTCAGTGGTGAAAGAATCCGCCTGCCAATGCAGGGGACACGGGTCCGAGCCCCGATCGGGGAAGATTCCCACCTACCTCGGAGCCACTAAAGCCCTGGCGGAGACTGGGCTGCACAGCCCGGGAGCTGTAACTACTGAGCCCTGTGCCGCAGCTGCTGAAGCCTGCGTGCTCCAGAGCCTGTGCTCCGGCAGAGAGAGCCCACACACCGCATCTACACAGTAGGCCCCGTTCTCCGCAACTAGAGAAAAGCCTACACAGTGAGGAAGAGCCGGTACAGACGAAAATAAATTACTTAGGGAAAAAAAAAGAACACTGGAGTGGGTTGCCATTTCCTCCTCCAGGGGACCTTCCAGACCCAGGGATCGAACCTTCGTCTCCCACACTGCAGGCGGATTCTTAACCGCTGACCCACCAGGGAGCTCGGGAAATGTCTGCGTTATGGTTCAAGCGTCTTTTCCGTTGACTGGTACGTTCCATTGAGCCTGACCACTACCGAGACTTGGTGTCCTGATGGAGCACCCGCCAGTGTGCACGCTGCAGTCTCTGTGCAGGACCTCCACCACGAGGGACCGTCCGAGTGCTCCGCGCCCCCTGGAATCCCTCCCGGCGGGAGCGTGTGGACCTTCGTGCGGCTCTGAACGACGCTCCTGTGTGAGCACAGACGCCCGCCTGCAGCTCCCAGGAGGAAGCCACAAGTCCCGTGTTCTCCGCTTCCGCCACCCACCCGCAGCGATCGTGCAGCAGCAGGGTTTCTCTGCAAGGTAACTTGATTCTACAGTTTGTGGCAAAGGGCTCGGGCCCAGGAGACTACCCCCTCTCGCCCTTCCTCACCCTCTCTGCTCTGTCTGGTCCTCGCTGCCTGCAGCCTGCTTCCTAAGAAGGGGCCCTGGACACTCAGCCACGTGGCGGCAGGACCCAGCCTCGGACAAGGAGCAGCAGCAGAGAAGGGCTTCGCTTTCTCCTCTGCTTTTGAAGGCGAAACCACATACTGCTGCGTATCAAGTACAAACTCATCTTCAATGTTTTAACTATCCAGGTCCTCGCTTGTCTACCATGGGCTGGATTTGGGGAGACGGTGAGGGTTGGGGGGGCGCCGTAAGAGATACACAAGCAGATCCCTTGTAGCTCAGTTGGTGAAGAATCCACCTGCAACGCAGGAGACCTGGGTTCGATCCCTGGGTTGGGAAGATTCCCCTGGAGAAGGAAATGGCGACCCACTCAAGCATCTCTGCCTGGAAAATCTCAGGACAGAGGAGCCTGGTGGGTCGCAGTCCATGGGGTTGCAATAAGTCGGGCACAAGTGAGCGACTAACACTTACACTTACCCAGCAGCTCTCAGCCCTCCATCCTGGTACACACCTGCCTGTCCTTGCTCAGGCATGACCCAGGGGTTGGGTGACAGATCCCCGCTGTGGTTTCCTTTCTGGGACAAAAGAAGGTGAGACTTAAGTCTTCCTGGGCTCCTTGACGGAGGAAGCCAGTGTTCACATCCTAACCGGAGAGGCTCCAATTTCTTCCAGAGCCCCTCCTGCCTGTCACCTCCCTGAAAAGTCCCGAGAGAGCGGGCGGCGGGGGGGGGGGGGGGGCGCACGCCTGGGGGGACAATGAGGAGTCCGTGTCAAACGCCTGCTCACATCCTGCTTCCCTCGAGCCCAGGAGGGCTCTGCAGACGTGGAGAGGCAGGGCCTGGCAGGCAGCCTGTGTACACTCCACCTGCTTCCTGTGAACACTTTTCTTCCAGCAGCTGGGAGAGAGGGCCTGACGAGACACTGCAGGCACCGAGCGAGTGAGGAACGACCGCTGGGTCTGGAAAGCACGCAGAGCGCCAGGAAAAACAGCAGAGGTTGGGCGCGGAGCACCGCTTGGGACTCGCCATGAGCCAAGCGCAGGAGGAAGAAGAAATGAGCATGAGAAAAGACAAATTCCAAACACGGAGAAGAGCTGTATTCTTTTAAAACACGCGACACGGTGTTTCTTTAAAGCTGGTGCTTTTCACTTAGAAGGACCAGAACAGTGGGATTATGCATCTGCAGAAGACTGTGCACTCACTCAACTCTTCTTCACAATTTAGATGAAAACCTTCGGTGAGATAAGCAAGGATCTCAACACATTGCTAAAACGCCTCAGATCTGGCAAAGAGTACACCAGTGGATGACAGCATACAATCAATGAAAGGGACAGTGCTTCATAGGGGAAAGTTCTCCCAGAAGCTAAAATAAAAGGAAGCACTGGGCTCCCCTGGTGGTGGTGGTGTTCAGTTGCTCAGTCGTGTCTGACTCTTTGCAACCCCATGAACCGCAGCACACCAGGCCTCCCTGTCCATCACCAACTCTCGGAGTTTACCCAAACTCATGTCCATCGAGTCGGTGATGCCATCCAACCATCAACCGTCGTCCCCTTCTCTTCCCGCCTCCAATCTTTCCCAGCTCCAGGGACTTCTCCAATTAAGTCAGTCTTTTTCCTGGTGGCTCAGCGTTAAAGAGTCTACCTGCCAATGCCGGAGAAATGGGTTGGATCCCTGGTCTGAGAGGATCCCGTATGCCATGGAACGACTCAGCCTGTGCTCTGGGGCCCTTGAGCCTTGAGTACTGAACCCACGTGCGCCCCCACTATGGAAGCCCAAGGCCCCCAGAGCCCACGCTCTGCAACAAGAGACAGGAGAAACCTGAGCACCACAACTAGAGAGCAGCCTGTGTTCACCATGACTACAGAAGAGCCCACAGAGCAAGGAAGACCCAGCACTAAATAAGATCATTAAAAAATAAAAGTAAAAGAATAACTCAAAGGAAGCAGCGTACAGTAGCTGTGCCCAACTGTCCCATGCACACACGGCCTCCAAAGCTCCGGGCTCTGCACCTGGCTCCTGAGTTATCTTTCACGGGAAGCTCGCACGTGGTTTGCAACGAGCCACAGCCACACAAGATGCTCCCCTCCTCCGGTGTGCTAGAAAATACCACGCGTACACTCGCGAGCTGCAGGCTGGGCCCCCAGCTGGTGGGATGTGCACGCACTGACCTTTAGGGTCATGGAGCTGTTACCACAAAAGGCCTCAGCACGCCTGGAGCTGCTCTCCACTTTGTCTGGGGCTGAGGTTCCATCACTGCACGGTACTGAGTCCAGCTCTGATCACAGAGGACATATTTACACATATTTATCCTGGCCTCTGAGAACGGTATCAGTTTCTGTTTTATCCTATGAAGACGGGAAGGAGGGAGGGTAGTTCCCCACTTATAATTCAGTTGGACGACCGGGACTTGCGTTGTTTTATAGCAAAACAACTCAAGCAGACACTCAGTTATCAGCGTGCAGGGTAAGATCTGCTTTCTCTGCACACCCCGTCTTCCTCTCCAAACCACACCTGGAGGAAGCAGGTGTGTCCTCGGCCTCCGTCCCCGACCTGTGGTTTCTGCCAGGGGGGTGGGGGCCACGGGGAGCAGCCTCTGCCCGCAGGCTGGGGTGCTCCCAAGGACTCAGGTGGGGGCCGGCAGTCTGGGTTGGAGGCCCTGCTCTGCGGCTGACCAGCGGCGGAGAGCTGGGGACCTGTGTTCAGGGCCCGGCTGGGCCTCGGCTAACCTCTGTGTACGCTGGGGGTGCAAGAACAAGGATACGCCTACTGGGTGTGTGTGTCGCCTGAGCGGGGAATCTGTGCAGAGCTCTGAGCAAAGTGCCGGGCCCAGCCTCACCAGCTGGAGCACCCAGGGGGTGAAGCATCGCCTCTGCAGAGGAAGGTTAGGGATCCTCTGTGAGTCAAGAGGAAGGCAGTTAGGGATCTGCTGTGAGTTAACAGGAAGGCAACAGCAAGGAGATCCAACCAGTCCATCGTAAAGGAGATCAGTCCTGAGTATTCACTGAAGGACTGATGCTGAAGCTGAAGCTGAAGCTCCAATACTCTGACCACCTGATGTGAAGAACTGACTCTTTGGAAAAGACCCTGATGCTGGGAAAGACTGAAGGTGGGAGAAGGGGACGACAGAGGATGAGATGGTTGGATGGCATCACTGACTCAATGGACATGAGTTTGAGCAAATTCCAGGAGTTGGAGATGGACAGGGAAACCTGGTGTGCTGCAGTCCATGGGGTCGCAAAGAGTCAGACCCAACTGAGCGACTGAACTGAACTGTGAGTTAAGAGGAAGGCAGTTAGGGGTCACCTGTGAGTTAAGAGGAAGGTTGTTAGGGATCATCTGTGAGTTTATCAGAAAGGCAGTGATCACCTGTTAAGAGGAAGGCAGTTAGGGATCATCTGGGAGTTAACAGGAGGGAGGTTAGGGATCATCTATGAATTAACAGGTAGGCAGTTAAGGAACATCCATGAATTAAGAAGGCAGTTAGGGATAATCTGTGAGTTAAGAGGAAGGCAGTGAGGGATCATCTATGAATTAAGAAGAAGGCAGTTAGGGATCCTCTGTGAGTTAATAGGAGGGCAGTTAGGGATCATTTGTGAGTTAAGAGGAAGGCAGTTAGGGATCCTCTATGAGTTAATAGGAGGGCAGTTAGGGATCATCTGTGAGTTAAGAGGAAGGCAGTTAGGGATCCTCTGTGAGTTAATAGGAGGGCAGTTAGGGATCATCTGTGAGTTAAGAGGAAGGCAGTTAGGGATCCTCTGTGAGTTAATAGGAGGGCAGTTAGGGATCATCTGTGAGTTAACAGGAAGGCAGTTAGGGATCAT